GAGGAGGAGGAGGGGGAGGAGGGGGAGAGGAGAGGAGGAGGGAAGAGGAAGAGGAGGAGGAGGGGGAGGAGACCAACGCACCCCGAGAGCCGACAAATGTGGCCGGCCGTCTCCATCCCCCCTCGGTCGGATGTGGACTGGCAACGGCCGGGCTCGGCCCTCAGTGGACTCCGGGGTGCCCACCGTGCTGCTACGAAGCACGCCCAAGAAGGAGCGAACAATTATCCCGGCAAAGCAACCTAACAGCGATGTGTAGAAGCATATCTGAAAGCATTCCCCTTAAGATTCAGATGAAAATCCAGTTGTAGAATTCTGCTGTTATCTGCTGTGTCTACGAAGCACGCCCAAGAAGGAGCGAACAAAAAGGCTTTCCTGGCCACGGCGCGCCTGGGCCACGAAGCGGCTCCCCGATCCGGACCCAAGAAGCGGCCCGAAAGCCAGAGCCCCGCTTGAGCCCACAGGGTCCTCATTCTTCCGCCGTCCTGACTGCAACGCTTTGCGCCGATGTGCGGGGATTCATCGCGAGAGTGGCCTCGGACGGCTGGGGGGGAGGAGGAGGGATCGGGAAAGAGAAGGGAGGAGGAGGAGGAGGAGGAGGAGGAGGAGGAGGAGGAGGAGGAGGAGGAGGAGGAGGAGGAGGAGGAGGAGGAGGAGGAGGAGGAGGGGGGAAGAAGGAGAAGAAGAGGAGGATGAGGATGATGATGATGGCGAGGAGGATGATGAGGAGGAGGAATGTTCGGGAATGTTCGCTTAGAGGACGACGAAAGTCCATGCTCATTTGGCAATTCTACACACCTCAACCTCACGGACCGCTTTCGGGGGCCCCGAGGGGTGGGGATACTTACCCGCGCTAATTCGAACTAAGTTATGTCTCCCTGTGGGCGTGTGGGCACGTTCCTTAACCAACTGCCGAGGGTCGGTGGTGCAACAAAAACCGCATTTGCTACAGAACATGAGGCAGTATTTGCTCCAATACTGCAACGAATGCGACGGGTGGGGGACCTTGCCGGTCACTCTCTGGGGTCCACGCAGAGGCTCGAACTCCCGGAAGTGCTTGCACGAGCACTGGGTCACACCCGCTTGGGAAATCGAATCGTGATTCGAAAACTGCGAACACTGCGTGCAATGAAACTTCGCACCCGCACGACACCATCGATGGTCGGAGTCCCTCAAAACACGCGCCAACTTTGGGAGGGGATCAGGACCACAGCTTTTCGGCCGTTCCACGGACCACGGGTCCGACAAAATCGCACATCCCAGGGCCCGCCGAGCACGCCGTCAGATCAAGGCGGCCCCCGAATCCCTCCTGTCAGTACGAGGGTCAAAAACAACAAAACTGGTCCACGCAATCTCGGCGGCCATCGCTGACGCCATCGCGTCAGCACACTCATTGCCGAACGTTCGGCGTCGGATCGGGGTGTCGCCTGCTCTTGGCGGGAGGCAACCCATTCGAGCAGCACGTCGTCAGGCTCTCTGGCCTGGAGTGCTGAAGCTGCCCTGGACCAGAGGTCGGCATTGGCTCCCCCAGCGTTCTCAAACCCGAAACGCCTTCCTCTGGACCAGGTCGACAGGATCGGAAGATGATCGGCGATGAAACGCAATCGGCCTGGGAGGAGCTCCAGGGCGGAGGCGAGGGCAGTGATCTATGCGCGAGACACCGTCTGCCTCCTCCCCTGGATGGTGGTTCCGAAACCCCAGGCCGACTTCCAAAAGAATCCGTCTGGCGCGAGCGCCACTGCGCCGGCGCCAACCCTGCGACGCCGAGGGTCATCCGAAAAACGACTCCCCGATCCGTCCCCGAAAACGGTAGCATAACTCTCGGCGTCGCGCGGGATAGAATTGATGTCCCCGAAGCTCCTGGTCTCTGGGGGCCCGTTATTGAAACTGGGAATCGTTTCCCCTCTCCCCGGGGCCCCTCCGAGCCAAAAACTCGGGTAGCTCTCGTGGTTCGCTCGGGCCTGGTCGCATAAAACATCTGACTTCGTGAAATCTTCGCGGCCAGCATTGGCCTCGCAGGCCCACATTCTGTGAGGGGGGGCGCAGCAAAAACGCCACCGAGGACCGTCGTCGCCGAAGGGCCGCCCTTGGCGCCAGGGTCGGTCTTGAACCGTTCCCCGCGGGCGGGGGCCTTGAACCCTGACCACGAAGGGTCTTGAACCCGTGCCTCACGTGGCCGTGTTTTTGTGTGCACACTGTGTGTTTTGAGTCGGCATTGCGCGTGTGTGGCCCGGGACACAGCAGCAGCGCCGCTGAGGACCGTCGTCGCCGAAAGGCCGCCCTTTGCGCCGGGGTTCGGTCTTGCGCCGTTCCTCTCGGGCGGGGGTCTTGCACCCTGACGACGCGGGGTCTTGCGCCTGTTGCCTCAGGTTGGCGCGGTGCCGTGTTTGCGGGGGCTGTGCGCGTGCCGTGCAAGGGTCCGTGCGGTGCCGATGCTGCAGTTGTGCTTGTGCCGAGTGGTGTTGCTGGTTTGATGAGCAGGTGAGTGTGCGTGGTGGAAGTGTGTTCGTGTGAGTGTGTTACGGGCGGAACACGCGTGGTGTTTGTAAGCACGCGGCGTGTTGGGCGAAGGTGAGTGTGCGTGGTGGAAGTGTGTTCGTGTGAGTGTGTTGCGGGCGGAACACGTGTGGAGTTTGTGTGCGCGCGGCGTGTTGGGCTTACCAGTCTCTGCGCGTGTGCGTCTGTCTTAAGCGTGCCAATATTCGGCCTTTCGCTGGCGCCCCAATCATCGGCATGTTCTTCCAGGAAGGGCGTTTCAAGGCTTGACATGCCGATGGTGCGCTGAACCAGTTCGTCCCCCTGTCGGCCTCTCTCTCTCGTTCTCCCTGCTACTCCGTTGAGTCGCGTGGCCTGGGGGGGGGTCCGCTGTGGTGGGGGGGTGTCTTGGGCTCCCCCGTGCCCCTCTTCCTCCTCCTCCTCCTCCCCCTCCTCCTCCTGCCCCGCCTCCTCCTCCTCCTTCCCCTCCTCCTCCCCCTCGGGCACGGGGTCCAAGACGCCGCCCCGTCTTGGCGCGCCCCCCCCCTCGCGCTCGGGGCGCGGGGGTGAGGGTTCCGGCCCGGGCTTCGGGGGGAGGGCGCGGGCAGGCCCTCGAGGCCCACGCGCCCGCCAACACCAATACCAATACCAATGCCATGCCGTGCCAGAAGCCTACGCGACTCCAGTCCACGAACAAGGAGTTTGTACACCGCGTGAACATGAAGCGCCGCTGCACCGAGGAGCACGTGGTCTCACGCGGCAAGCTTGCCCAGCAGGCTCATAACTACCCGAGACCGATGGCGCGAAGGATGGCCCACTTGATCGCCTATCAGGGCATGGCCGACGACATTGAGGATATCAACACCGCCGAGGAGGTCTCCAAGGACATCGACGCCATCGAGTGCACCGACGTGATGCAGGAACTGATGAAGCGTTCGAACGTGTCGACGATCAGGGCGGTCAAGCGTGCTCATATCAGCCTGGGCCACCCCTCCAACGCGGCAGTGGCGACCGCCATGAAGCACGCGAAGGCCTCGGCAGAGTGGCTTCAGTGCGCCGAGCTCTTCCAGTGTGAAATTTGCCTGAGCAGGCAGCGACCTCGAGCAGTACGCGCAACGGTACTGCCGAAAGCTAAACGGTTCAACGAGGTCATGAATACCGACGTCTACTACGTCACCTGGAAGAACAAGGAGCGAAATATCTTGGCCATGGTGGATGAGTGCACGCGCTACGAAGTGGATTACCCGATCGCGAAGGAGACTTTGAAGAAGGAGGTGAAGCTGTTTCAGAAGTTGTGGATCAGCTGGGCTGGCAAGCCCGACGCCATGAGGATGGGCATGGCAGGCTCGCACACGGCAAGAAGGATGCACCAGTGAATGAGCAAGCACAACATCACACTCGACCTGATCCCGAAGGGCGCGCACCACAAGCTCGGACTCATGGAGCGCAACCATGCGGTCAGGAGGGAGCAGCTCAGCAAGTACCATCTGCAGTTTCCCGACGACTCGCTCAAGACCGCGCTCAGGATGACCGCCAGCCGGCGGAACATCTCACGCAACGTGCACGGGTATTCGCCCGCGACGTTGGTGCTGGGCACACAGCCCAAGGTACCTGGCGCTCTATGCGACGAGGACATCGGCCTGGCGGAGCAGGCCGCGCTGGTCGACCCCAAGAGCGAGGTGCACAAGGTGATGGTCAGGCGCGCTGCGGCAGGGACAGCTTTCATCGAGGCCAACTGCTCTCGTGCCGTGCGAGCTGCGCTGTTGGCGCGCAGCAGGCCGACGCGCCGCGAGTGTCAGATCGGCGAGTGGGTCTACTTCTGGCGACCCGAGATGTCGACGGGCCTGGAGAAGTGCCACTGGCATGGCCCGGCGCTGGTGGTGGCGGTGGAGTCGAAGGTCATCGAGGGCGACGTGTTTTACGCGTCCGTGGTGTGGGTCACGCACGGGCGCGCGATCTACCGATGCACGGTGGAGCAGCTCCGCCCCGAGCTGTCAAGTGAGACCCGAGAGCGAGAAGGATGGCGCGAGGATCCCGACAGCCCACTCAGCACCGTCGAGAAGCTGAGGAGGGCGCTCAGGCGGACCAAGGGAACCTGCAGCTTCAGTGACCTCGCCGAGGGGGGCCAGCGGCCCCAGTACGACGACGCCCTGGACGACGTGGGCGCGCAGCAGCCCGGCGCCCAGGGACACCGCGATGGAGATCGAGATGGACAAGAACGAGAGGGGCCGAGTGGAGCGGCTGCCGCGGCAGCTCCCGAGGCCCACCAGCCAGCCGAGGCTGGCGAGGAGGCGGCTCCAGACCCTGCGCCTTCGGGGGCCAGCGCTGCGCGAGGGCGCGGCAACGCTGCGAGGGGGCCGAGCAGAGCCCACATCGAGGCGATGGCCAAGAGGAGCATCGAGGGGGCTGAGAAGCTGGACGGCATCCCCTTGGCAAAACGCGCCCGCATGTCGTGGGCCAGGCTCGCGCCGCAGCAGGAGGGGTCGTGTCTCATCGAGGAGGTGGGCGACGAGATGACGTTGTTGGAGGAGTCCACCGAGACGATCTACATGCTGGCTTTCAAGGGGAAGGCCCCCGCCATCGTGGGGGGGGGGCTCACGCCCGAAGAGCGGGGGCAGTTCTACGCAGCCAAGCTGGAGGCCCTCGAGGTGTTCAACAAGAACGACGGCTGGGAGCCCATCGACGAGGCGGAGGTAGACCCAGCGGCGCGCTGCCCGCTACGCTTCCTGCTGAAGTGGCAGGTGAAGGACGGGCAGCGAGTGGCCAACGCGCGAGTGCTCTACCAGGGCTTCAAGCACCGCAACCTGGCCGAGGGCCAGCTCGACAAGGAGGCGCCCGCTTTGAGCAGGCTTGGCCGACACACGGTCATGCTTTGGGCGGCCTTGGGGAAGTGGAGGCTGTTCGCTGCGGATGTGAAATCCACGTTCCTGCAGGCCGAGGGCGTCGGCGCTCACGGCATCAAGCTGTGCGCGAGCCCAACGAAGGAGATGAGGGGAATGCTTGCGCGCCAGATCGGCCTGCAACCAGGACAGTTGCTCAAGGTGATTAAGCCTTGCCTTGGGGGCCCACGGTCGCCCAAGCTCTGGCGCTACCGCTCCGACGAAGTCACGGGGGAGGTCGGGTTCAAGAACCGCTGGCTCAAGAATTGCTTGCTGCTGCCCTTGCGGGCCGCGCGACCCTCGGACGACCCGTTCGACGCGCGCAGCTTCGACGGCCAGACGTTCGCGGTGGACGGGCTGATCGGCGAGCGCGTGGACGACTTCACCGGCTGCGGCGAGAACGTGAGTTGCGAGGAGTGCTTCCAGGCGCGGTTGGGCATGCTCAACGAGAAGTTCAAGTTTGGCAAGTGGGAGTTCGGGCCGAGCCTAGTCTTCACCGGCGGCGAGGTGGAGCAGCCCCTGAGCACCCGCGCGATCACCATCAAGTTCGAGAAGTACCTGCACGCGGTGAAGCCCATCACCGCGGAGAAGCACCGGCGGGCAGATCCCACCAGCGCGCTGTCGCCGAAGGAGCTCACCAGTTTCAGGGCCCTGAACGGCCAGCTGCAGTGGCCGGCAGCCCAGGGAGTTATCATCGCGGCGGCGACCGTATCGTTCAGAGCCGCGGCGACTGGACATGCGACGGTGCAGGACTTGCTGGGCGCGAACAAAAAAATACGGCTCCTGAAGGCCCACGCGGACGTGGGATTGCACTTCGGCTTTGACAGGCCGTGGAGCGAATTGCGCGTTGGAGGCTACTCAGATGCGGGCCGGGCCAGCCGACCTGACGGAAGTTCCCAAGGAGGCTATCAGATCTTCGTCGGACCCGCGGATGAGCTCAACGCCGGCACCCCGACACCGTTCGTGGCCATGGAGTGGGCCTCGAAGAAGCTGGCGCGGTTGTGCAGGAGCTCACTGTCCGCCGAGGCGCAAGCCGCGGCGATGGGAGCCGACTCGCTGATGTGGGTGAAGGTCTTTTTGGCCCTGAGTCTGAGGCCCGACCTCGGACGCGACGCCGCCATGACATACCTCGGAGAGCCGCCGTTCATCACAGACGCGAAGTGCCTCTACGACGCCTCGCGGTCAGCTACGGCGGGGTTGGGCATCGCGGAGAAGAGGGCGGCCATCGAGGTGACGATCGTGAACGAGCAGCTGGCGGAGGTCAACGCTGGTGGAAGTGGGTGAACACCCAGCAGCAGATGGCGGACGGACTCGCCGAGCTTTCGGCGCGCCAGATGATGGCGGATGTGTTACGCCGTGGAGTTCATGCCTTGCGCTACGACCCCGACTTCGTGGCCGGCAAGAAGCCCGCCAAGCGCGCGATGGAGCAACGCGAGAAGAAGCTGGACCAGGCAGGAGAGGAGTTGCTCGATACCTTCGAGAAGGAGCCCGTGGCGAAGGCGAAGGCTAAGGCCAGGACGCGTCATTTTGGCGCGAGTGGAGCTCGTTTGGCAGCTACGTTGGCGGCTACGAAAGCGACTGGCTCTGGAGCTGAGGTGGTGCAGTATACGCCCAGCGGCGTCGAGCTGTTCCACCCACCGACCAACGACGACTGGAACAACCTGCTGGTGAAGCTGGCCATGTTCGGATTCGTGTTGGCGATGCTCGTGGGTTTCGGCTGTGGGTTCTGGGTCGGCACCTGCTGGACACGCTGGACTACGACGGGCGCTGAGCAGAAGAGCATCAGGCCGCGGGAGCCAGAGACCGAACCGAACCCCAGCAATACGGAGAAGCACTACGTCGAGGGGACCGAGATGATGACGACAGGTGTGAACACCAAGCAGCCACGCCAGAAGAAAGTGCGCCACATGATGTGCCAGGCTCAGTGCCGCTACAACCAGGATGCGCAGACGCCGAGGTTCCAGCCGCTGCCCGAGTACGCACACGGAGCTTTTGTCGGATAGAGGACGACGACGGGGACCCAGCCTATGGCAACGTGGCGGCGATGCCGCAGGAGCTGATGTGCATTGAGATGCACACCCTGATGAGCGCCCACGAGGCGCGGACTTGCTTGCCTGGCGAGATCGACCGATCGCCCGGCGTGCTGTAATAATTAAGGAGATGTATGTCGCTGACGCGACCGCCGGTATGTTTGACATTCGAGTTTGACTGGTTTGCGCAGGGGACCTGCGGTGACACTGGTGTTTATCTGTGGTTTTGTTTCGGTCTCGTTCCCAAAAGCTTAGTGGTTTCAGCTTTAGTCTGAGTTTGCCGTTTGAGTCTCCTGGTAAACGTCCGGGGAACCCTGAGCTTAGGCAGTGTGATTTGTAATGTATATGTGCTAACTCTTTGTTTTTCCGCCCGTGTCAATATCACCCATGTTTCATTGAGTTTCCATTTGTGTATGCAGTGTCAGTTGGATTGTTTATTAACACAATTTATGATTATCGTTGTACCGCTGCCGTTTGATGTTCAGGGGCCCCAGAGTCACAGGAACCGGTTGCGTATTCTTTCCCAGGTTATCAAGATAATCAGATCACTTACGCTCCCGAGACAGACTTAGTGTGCTGCCATCGGTTGAGAGCCTCGACCTCAGCCTCCGCCTTGGTGGCCCGATGCGTCGCCTCCTCATTAGACTTGAGCTCCTTGGCGGTCTGCGCGTACCTCTCCTGAGCAGTCGGGACTCGCACCTGGCTCTCCTGAAACCGCTGTGCGCGCTGCAGTGGGGCGAGCTCCTTGGCGAACTGCGGTAGCTGCGCCAGCTGCTCCAGCAACGCCTGTGGATCAGGAGTGGCCTCCGCACGAGCGGACCAGGAACTCCACGACCGAGCTGATGAACGCGGGGCGCGCCACGGTGGAGCCCTCTGATAGACCGCCACCTCACGCCCGCACTTTGCTCACATACCGCTGTTGCGTATCATACGGAAAGTGTACGCCCAATTCCCGTACGCGCAAACACTGAAATCGCCTTTCCTCGCCATCTCGGTGGGAGAGGAATGCTTCCTGGTGCAGGGCGGGCGAACGCCCCGCAGGAAACGGGAAAACAGATGGGGCCGCGCGTCCCCTGCCAGCTCATACTTGAGCCAAAATGGATACGGAGGAGGAGGAGGAGGAAGAGGAGGAGGAGGAGGAGGAGGAGGGGGAGGAGGAGGAAGAGGAGGAGGACGAGGAGGAGGAGGAGATCATGAACGGGAGAAAGAGGATAATGAAAAGGGCAACGGGGGAGGGGGCGGCGGTGAAAAAATGACAGAGCCGTTCTCCCACCCTCTCCTTCCACAAAGTGCTCTTTTCACCCTGATGCCACTGTGCCGCGGCTGCGCCGTGGCCCCGCACCAAGAGCCGTCGATCTTGTCCGGGGACGCCACGTTGAGCTCGTTCAGGGCCTTCGCCACGGCGTGCTCGCTGGGATGCCGGTCTTTCGGGGCCGAACGGCTCTCTGGAGCCCTGCAACTCCACAGCTGCAGCAAAGACCTCTGATTTTACTCCTCTCTGTCGAGCGGAACCAAAACGCATCGATATCGCTGCTCCCCGGACCTCTCCCGGGATGCGCCCTGACCAAATTTTCGAGGAGAACCCTGCGGTGGCGACGAGGGCCACCCTAGAGGCCCAACACGAAGAAAATTATGCAAGGGTAGCAGTATCGGTGCCTTTCCCCCCAATGGGTCTCGTCCTCCGTCCTCCTCCTGCTGCTCCTCCTCGCTCTCCTCCCCCTCCTCCTGCTCCTGCTCCTGCTCCTGCTCCTCCTCCTCCTCCTTTCCCTCAATTCCTTTTCCTTCTGAATAACTTCTCCCTGCCGCGCCCCGAAGCCAGTTTTTAGGGCGGGCCGGGCGCTTCGCTTGAGACTTCCTCACCACTCGTGACTCTGAAGCCTAAAACTTGACAACTGATTCACACATAGAGGGTGGGTCGTTTTCAAAATGTGGTTCTCTCCTTAGCGCGGCGTACACTCGTTTTCAACACTTGCAATAGTTTCACGGATTGAAAGCGGGTGGTTTTCAAAATGTGGCTCTCGCCTCAGCGCGGCGCACACTCGCTGTAACAAATTGCAAGAGCTTCGCGGGTTGAGGGCGGGTGGTTTTCAAAATGTTGCTCTCGCATTGACGCCGCGCGCACACTCGTTTTCAACATTTTGAAGAATTTCTCGGATTCCAATCATCAACGTGCCAGAAATTGTGTTTTGGGAAATGAACGGTTGTAGGGGCCTATGAAGAGGGAGCTTGGAGGGAGGGTTTACTCCAACATCGTTGATGACTCGTGGGTTTCGTGGGTTTGCACTAGACATTGTCCTCCTCCTCCTCCTCCTCCTCCTCCTCCTCCTCCTCCTCCCCATCCCCCTCGCCCTCCCTCCTGCGGGCCGCGGGTCTTCGCCGCCGAGCACTTTGAATTGGTGCCGGCGCGCACCACCAACGCTCAGCGCCGGCTCCTTCAGGACGGCCTTTCACCATTCAACAACCATCCTCAAGGGGGTGGGACGCGCCGGTCGGGGCCTATACCTGGCGCTACCCGGGAGCGCGACGCCGATCGCGACGATGGCGTAATCGCGCGCCCTGGGCCTCCCCGCCAGTGCGCCTTCCAGCGCGGCCCCCGCCAGTGCGCCAGGCGCCCCCAGCGCCCCCCAGCCCGCCGCGCCGCGCCCAGCCCCGTCGGCGTCGCCAGCAGCGTGGCCAGCCGCCAAGAGCGCGCCCAGCCGTCGCCAGGCGCTGGCCTGCACCAGGGCCAATTCAGTTCGGCCGACAGGCTCTGTCTCTCCCTGGTCAAGCTCCATGAGCGCCAGCCTGGGCGGCGTCCCGCGGCCGCCCCCGCTGGGCCAGCAGAGCCGCTCAGGCGAGGCCCGCTGCCCAGCGGCGCTGCAGGGCGAGTTGAGCTTGCACCGCGCAGCTGACCACCCTGTAGGCTCGGGCCAGGTGCGCGGGCTGCTGGTCGGCAGGGAGCGCGCGCACCTGCCTCAGGAGCCACTGCCGGGTTTCTCCGCCTACTCCCCCTCCCCCTCCCCCTCCCCTTCCCCCTCCCCTCCCCCTCCCCTCCCGCTCCCCTTCTCCCTCCCCCTCCCCCTCCCCTCCCCCTCCCCATCCCCATCCCCCCCCCCATCCTCCTCCTCCTCCTCCTCCTCCTCCTCCTCCTCCTCCTCCTCCTCCTCCTCCTCCTCCTCCTCCTCTCCTCCTCCTCCTCCTCCTCCTCCTCCTCCTCCTTCTCCTCCTCCTCCTCCTCCTCCTCCACAGGTGTAGGAGCCTCCGCCCCCCATCTGTCGTTCCCCTACCCCTCTGCAGACATCTCATTCCCCGTCCTACTCGATCGAGCGACGCAGCGGTCACAGCTGAGACTAAATTGGAACCTCTTGCCGAATGTTGCTGTCTTCTGATCGTGGTGCCGTAGGGTCGTCATCACAGTAGCTTGCAACATGTCGGCCTGGGTGGCCGCCTCGCGAGCAGGCGGCAAGGGGCGCGCGCGCGGCAGACGAAATGCTCGCGGGAACCCCCCAGGCCTCGCACCCGGGAAAAAGACGTGGTGATTGTGCAGGCCTTGCGCATCATTCGCTGGTCGGTGATCCTCCTCCTCCTCCTCTTCCTCCTCCTCCTCCTCCTCCTCCTGCTCCTGCTCCTTCTCCTCCTCCTCCTCCTCCTCCTCCTCCTCCTCCTCCTCCTCCTCCTCCTCCTCCTCCTCCTCCTCCTCCTCCTCCTCATGTCGTCCCCACAGTAACGCGGGACATGTGATGGCCCTCCCCCGCTCGCCCCCCTCCCCCGTATTATCCCTAATGGGTGGGAAGTGGAGGAGGTGGAGGAGGAGGAGGAAAGGAGGAAAGGAGGAGGAGGATAACGAACGCATGAAAGACTCTGCAAAGGCGCGCCAGCTGATCCTGCACCAACTCGGGGCATTTGAAACCTAAAGGAGACGATTTCAGGGCTGGTTCGCTTCTAGAGGGCGCTGCGATGTGCGTCATAATCATCGCGCATGGCAATCGGTACACTTGTGCTCCCGCCCACCCCTTGCCTCGGCTGATAGCCCCCGTGCTTTGAAGGCGAGGCGTGGCAATGGGAAGTGGTGCGCGAAGAGGGGTTAAAAAGCTGCGCGGCCAAAAATCAGGCGACCCCCCCCCCCCGCGCTCGAAACATATATGTAATAACGAATGAAACTCAGGCCATCTACGGCCCACTCAGGGCCAGTTCAGAATGCTTGAAGCCGAGATTCATCTGGGAGACCTGCTGATCCCGAGAAGTCCCAGGATGCTACTGGGCGGAAGAGGGGGCGACGAGGAGGAAGGGGGGCCGTGGATGCGGGCTCGGCCGCGGCGGCAGCGTGTCTAGGCCTAGACGAAGTGGCCGAGGCAAGGGGTAGCTGCGCAGCTATTTCTGGGCCCGTCTGGAGAGAGAGCGATGACCTCTGAGCCCCCGTCGTTCCCGAAGCCACCGCCGTCGATGCCGTCGAGGGAAAGGAGAGGCCGTCTGTGATCCAGGCAAGGGTAAATGTGTAGATGGCGGAGCGTTCTGTGACGTTCTGGTAGCAATCGTCGGGTGAGGCTCCGTTCTCTGCGGAGGGTGTGTAGCAATCTGCAACTCTGAATCAAAATGCGTTCTAACTCCAGCTAGACTCTGGACGGCACCTACTAGAGGGGACGGCTCAGAGAATTCTAAGGCCCCCGTACCACTAACGTGGGCACTGTCGTCGGCAGGACTGGGGACCATCTCATCATAGCCTACCGGGCCTACCGTCGAGTCGAGCTGGCAGTTTTCCAGATCATGCGAGGCCAAAGAATCATCATGCAAAGGTCGCGTCGCTGCTGCTAATAATCAGGTCGCTGATTTGCGTCGAGATGCAACTGTACAGGCCTCGAGTTGCGACTGCTTTGCGGGGCCCCGTGCTTGTGGCCCCCCCCCCCGACTTGCGCCAGGGCCTGCGCTGCTTTGTCATCCATGCCCGTCGCTTTGGCTTCGATCCAGATCTTGCCTTTGTCCTGCGCATGAGTTGTCCAGGGCCTGCAGTGCCGAACGAGATCTGCCAACGCGCCGCTGGAAAGCTTCTCATGTTTGAGCATGTCCTGGTACTCTGTGTTTGAGCTTATCCTGGTACTCTTTGGGCGCTATGTCGCTCGCGTGGCCGACCCTGTCGCCTTGG